ATTGTGTTCTATATTGAACTGGGGAAATGAGATGCTAATTACAAAAACACAATACTGGTCTCCATATAATAGTTTTGTTTCTGCTCTTGGACTTGGTTCTCTCATCTACATTGAAACTCAAGATTTGAAGTTTGAACTCTTCCATTGAAAGGTACTTTATGTAGTTATCTTTTTTCATGGACATTAAGAAAGATTATCATTTTTTTATTTTATCCCTAATTAATGTGTTGTATTTGTTGCGTTTGCTTTTCTATTTATGGCTCGTGTTAGTGTTATGTTGTGTAATTTGGTTTTTTTCCTTAAGAGTAGTATTTTGATATTCATCATCAACCTTTTGCAGCTTTTTGTTATTTTTTAATCAAATTTAGTTGTGTTAGTAGAGAATTAATATTCTACGGATGTGCCGATTCAACTTAATTTGGATGTCAATTTTCTCGTTTGTCGACTGATAATTCTTTTCTCGTGTTTAATTGGTTCTTAGACGGCCTTTACTGATCAATAATCAAGCTTAAGATTTGAACACTTTGTGAGGTACGTAATTCCTTTTCATGATCTGAACATTGGAGAAAGAAATATTAACAGTTATTTTTGCAAGAGTATATTATTAATTAAGCCTCATAATAATATATAATTTTTGTATTTTTCTTCAATGATCAATTATTGATTGAATTATTTGGCGCTCATTCATTGAACAGCTTAGATAGCTCCTCAAACAGCTTGATTAGTAGTGTTATCAGTTCTTTTCGGGAAAATGAGCTTCGACGATGATGAGCAAATTGTCATACCCAAAGATGTCTCTTCAGGTTTTTGTTTTCTTCCTTTCTTCATTCACATAACAAGCCTTTTATTTATTTATTTATTTATTCTTTACAATTTACATGCACTCAAAACTTTTGATTCTATTTAATTAAGAGTTAATTATGAATCATCTTTTCTTTCCATGCGTATAATTCAGGGGAAAAAGCTCCAACTTTTGTAGCAGGAAAAATACAGATTGAAGCCATCAATCTCATGGAGGCACCACTTGAAGAAACCAAATTTAAAGTGTTACTAGAGTTGAAGGAGTCTGCAGATATCAAAGGAAGACATGGACTTGATCTTGTGATGGTCATAGATATCAGTGGAAGCATGCATGAGGGAGGCAAGTTAAACAAAGCTCTTCCATTGAAAGGTACTTTATGTAGTTATCTTTTTTCATGGACATTAGGAAAGATTATCATTTTTTTATTTTATCTCTAATTACTGTGTTGTATTTGTTGCGTTTGCTTTTCTATTTATGGCTCATGTTAGTGTCATGTTGTGTAATTTTTTTTTTTCTTAAGAGTAGTATTTTGATATTCATCATCAACTTTTTGCAGCTTTTTGTTCTTTTTTAACCAAATTTAGTTGTGTTAGTAGAGAATTAATCTTCTACCGATGTGCCGATTCAATTTATTTGGGATGTCAATTTTCTCGTTTGTCGGCTGATAATTCTTTTCTCGTGTTTAATTGGTTCTCAGACGGCCTTTACTAATCAATAATCAAGCTCAAGATTTGAACACTTCGTGAGGTACATAATTCGGCCATTTCATGATCCGAACATTCAGAAACAAGAAGAAAGAAAGATTAACAGTTATTTTTTCAAGAGTATATTATTAATTAAGCCTAATAATAATATATAATTTTTGTATTTTTCTTCAATGACCAATTATTGATTGAATTATTTGGCGCTCATTCATTGAACAGCGTAGATAGCTCCTCAAACAACTTGATTAGTCGTATTATCAGTTCTTTTCGGGAAAATGAGCTTCGACGATGATGAGCAAATGGTCATACCCAAAGATGTCTCTTCAGGTTTATGTTTTCTTCCTTTCTTCATTCACATAACAAGCTTTTTTATTTATTTATTTATTCTTTACAATTTAGATGCACTCAAAACTTTTGATTCTAATTAATTAAGAGTTAATTATTAATCATCTTTTCCTTCCATGTGTATAATTCAGGGGAAAGAGCTCCAACTTTTGTAGCGGGAAAAATACAGATTGAAGTCATCAACCTCATGGAAGCACCACTTGAAGAAACCAGATTTAAAGTGTTACTAGAGTTGAAGGAGTCTGCAGATATCAAAGGAAGACATGGACTTGATCTTGTGATGGTCATAGATATCAGTGGAAGCATGCATGAGGGAGGCAAGTTGGACAAATTGAAAATCGCCACGAAATTGGTCGTTGAGAAACTTAGCCCCGTTGATCGTTTCTCGGTTGTCACATTCTTTGACAGCTCTATCAGATTGTTCCCACTGCGCCAAATAACTGAAGATTCTAAAGCTGAGATTATAGAGGAGATCATACTTTTAAATGCAAAAAATAGGGACAAAAATATTGCTGAGGGCCTTAGAACGGCCTTAAAAGTGCTCAACGACCGCCATTTTACGCGTGGGCGTGTGGGTGCCATCATGCTTTTTTCTGACGGTGCCGAAAATAGAGGTAAAGCTGCCGAGGTTGATGTTAGCAAGGTGCCAGTACACACATTCGGCGTTGATGAAAGCCACGACCAAAGGGTATGTGTATATGTATTTAATTTGAAAAATTTATGTCCTGTTCATTTCGCTGTTTAAGTTTTCAACTTCAATTGAAAAAAAGTTGAATTTAAATTTTTGTAGGATAAATCAAAGTAATACAAATTAAAATTATGATTAGAACCAACAAAACGAACGGGTTTTGTTGTTAACCTAACCTTACTAATTATTTATTAATTTGTCATCGATATAATATTATAACTAAAATAGGTGCTATTAGAGATCGCACAGAAGAGCAATGGAGGAACGTTCTCAGATTTGCAAAATGAGAATAACTTGCTCATTGCATTGTCCCAGTGGTTGGCTGGGCTTCTCACCGTCGTTGTTCAGGACTTACGCGTAACAGTCGCACAAGTCGACGGAGAATCGAAAATCATGAACGTGCTCGCTGGAAACTCTCCAATCACGAATGAAAACTCTGCAGTTACTATTTCCTATGGTGATCTCTACGGAAAAGAGGTACGCAAGGTCCAAGTCGAACTTCTTCTCCCTAATATAGTTGGAAGTGGCCCGACGGCCCCGAATGTTCTCCTAATCACTTGCAGTTACAGGTGGGATTTTCTTCAGAAATACTTTTCTTTTTCTTTGGTTATTTCTGAATTGATCGATCTTAATATAAATATCGAATAATAACACGCATGCAGTGATGAGTATGGAAAAGAGCGGTTTGAAGCGGATCCTATATTCATCACCGTTACCCGAACTAGGGGGAAAGAGATCAGACGAGAGGAGGTGATTGGACAAAACGTTGAGAAAAAAAGGTGAAAATTTTTCCACGAACTCAAAACATTTCATTTACTTTTTGATTGCATTTTATTATTGGATGACGAGGACTTCCTCAAGTCTACGCTTCCTGCACGAGTTACTAGAGGCAATATTGGCATATTGGTAAACTTATTATCAAATACTGCAATATATATGAAATTTTTTTATGAAAACTACTGCAATATATATTGAATTTGGAGTAAAATCAGGTAAATTGTCTTCTTTGGAACAAGGACATAGAAATCAGCCAAACTACTGCAATATATATTAAAGTATTAAGGTTAAAGTACATAGTTAAAAGTTTGAACATCAAAATAAAAAATAAAAATACTTTTTAAAATAAAACATCTGGCATCGTGATAATCTCTTGTTGTTAGAATCTTTAATTGATAGTTCCTATCTTGGAACTTAACTCTTTTGATGAAGGATTCATCTCTTATTTTGTTAACTTGATCGGATCTAACAAATGAGAGAGGTTCTCATTCAGCTTGTAAAAAAAAGTTGTTGCAAAATTTGAGGGAAACATAAAATTATTTAAGCATTTTAAATAGAACATTTTTTTAATAAGTCTCTTAAACATTTACTGTGGAAATATCTTGTTTAAAATATTATTCTCAATAAAAACTCTTTAAAATAGAAATAAAGGAAATTAAAACTTGTAATTTCATAATTGGGAATTTTGAACCAATTTCCCAACTTACTCAATTCCTTAGATAATTACCGGATACTTAATTAGATAGGTTCATACCGGTTTTGTTGTATCGTTAGCTGCTTAGTAAATCCACTTAATTAGATAACATACATAAAAACCATACAAATCCTTTGCGTCCATTCTCCATCCGTGATCACATCTCAACTTCATCTCTTTTTTTTTTTATTACCTTTACTTTTTATGATTTCTAATTTCTCTTTTCAATGTTCACTTTTATTTTTTTCGGTGTTTTAAATTTCTTGTTCTGCCTTTATTTATATAATCCTAATCTTAACATCTTACTTTATCTTAATCTTAGCATCTTTTCTTAATCTTAATCTTAACGTGCATAAAAGAGCAAATGTCCATTTTCATCCACCCTCCTCCACTTGCTACCTTTAAATTCTCATATTTTTTTTTTCTCTTCCTTTTTTGTTCTACTTTTTCAGATTCTCTGCCTTTTTATTTTTATCTTTTGCCTCTTTTATTTTCCTACTTATTTTCCCCCCTTTTTTTTTTTTGCCAAAAACTCCAGGCTGCTTTGGGATTTTTTTTTTTTACTCACTTTACTCCTATTAAAGTAATTTTTCAAATGTACCTCTGTTTAATTTTTTTTTTTTTTTCTCTGTGTGATCCTTATGAATATTTTTTCCCTAATTGGACCACAGTCTACGAAAACAGTTTGTTTCCAGACTTGTCTCGATTTTAATAATTTTTCACATAACCTTTCAAAAGTTTGGAAGGTACTTTGTGTAGTTTTCTTTCTCATGTACTCTACGTTCAAGAACAAGTGGAAAGAAAGATTATCATTTTTTTTTTCACGAGTGATTTAATATTATCAAGCTGAATATATCGTTGTACTAGTTGCATTTTTTTTCTTTTAGGTACAAAAAGTTGTCCGGTAAACATGATAGTCGCGTCGAGGATAGCACAGAAGAGCAAGGGGAGATCCAAGAAAGCAAAGTCCCTACAAAAGGTAAAGTTATGATGACTTTCAAAGAACTTGGGGTGACTGCAGATAGGCAATTGGTGAACGAAATAAAGGAAGCAAAAGTAGATGTAAGGGACAGCCAAGAAGAATTTAAGATACAAAGGGTTCCGAAAATCATGGTACGAAATGAAGATTATCTCGAAGAGTATTTTAAGCCAAGGGAGTTGTCGATCGGACCTATTCATTCTGCTGATTCTAGTTTGTTCAAGAAGGAACTCAAGCTTAAATTGGCAGAATATTTCATTACAGAAACCCACAATACAGCGGATGGGTTACTCATATTCTTTAAGGCAGGGTTCAAGGACATAAAGAAGCACTTCGACAAGGATATAATTATGTCATGTACCGACGATGAGTTAATCAGGTTGGTGTTCTTGGATGGTTGTGCAATGCTAGGGTTCATACATAGCTATTTGTTTCAGGGATTAAATAAGTTTCACATTAGTAATCGTCAAGCAGAATTGATCCGACAGGATTTACTTTTGATGGAGAACCAAGTACCCTTTACGGTGCTTCATGCGTTGACGCGCTACGCTAGTTGTGTGACAAAGTATGAATGGCTTATTCCTCAGTTTGTTCATGAGAATAGTATTATTCCAAAGGATCTTTTGTACGTGATACTTGATCACAAAGACAGCCTTTTTGGGAAGGGTAATGGTACCAAACGGCCGGATCACATTCTCGACCTTTACCGAAGAATTCTCTTAACTATTCCTCATGATTCTCATAATTGCTTTGATACTCTCCTAAGTTTCTTTGATTCCACCTTCCGATACGTTTTCTCTCGTTTGAGAGTGCTTATCGGATACGTTCTCGCTTGTTTGGGAGTGATGGAGCGCTTTGATACACCAACCGATGACTCTAAATATATGATTAGCAGAATGCACTCTTTTCGCAACATTCAGGAACTTAAAACAGCAGGTATAAAGTTAAAGCCAACTTATTCTTTAAGAAGAATATTTTTCCATTCCCGATTCTTTATTGCCGGTCAACTTTCGATTCCCGCATTAGTCGTTGATGACTCCACGGAACGCATGTTGTTGAATTTGGTCGCCTATGAGATGTGCTTGAATAAAGAACAACAAGCCACAGATTCTTGGGTTACTTCGTATGTAAACTTGCTAGATGTGCTCATTGATAATGAACAAGACGTTAAGGACCTAAGAGCAGCAGGCATTCTTCAGAATCATCTCAGTAGCGATAATGAAGTAGCTCAATTGATCAACAGAGTGGGCTCTAATTGCTTTGCACCATCTAAAGACACTTACGAGCATGTCAGGGAAAAAATAGAAAAGCATTATAGAAGAAAGTGCGCGATCTGGATGGCTCAAGTTTGCCAATCCAATTTCAGCAGCCCATGGACTATCCTGGCTCTTTTTGCTGCTACAGCAGTACTTGGATTAACTGCTGTTCAAACTTATTACGCAGTCAATCCAAAAAATTAAGAGGTACATAAATACTTTTATTATAATTAAAAGCTCTCATAAAAAATCATATTTAACTCTAAGAACATAAATACTTGTACTTGTTAACTCTAATTAACTTGCTAACTTTATTTTGAAACATTAGCTTAATAATAAAAATTATTCAAGGTTGCTTTGACAATTTGATTCAGATTGGGTCGAATATACAACAACTTTGGAGATATTGAGCTCACTATCTCCATGCATCTATCTATCTCATCGTCGAATGGGAATTGCCTACTTTGAGTGATGATTGCTTTACGGAAGATCTATGAAAACCTTTTTTTTAATATTTTTATTATGAACAATTAAAACTAGGAAGTACTTCCGATGTTGTTTCAGATTTGCGGTTCATTATGTGTTAATGCGTGTCTTCTCATTTTAAGGTTTAAGTGCGCTTCCATTTGTAAGTCGTTTTGATCTTTTTGTTCAATTGGTATTGCTGGTAAAGAATGTTTTATTTAATTATATGATATATGGACTATTGCTTGTTGACAAATAGCTGAATTTGAGCTGAAAAGGCTGCTGCATTTCATGGGTACAAAATGCCAGGTTTTTTTTTTTTTTTTTTTACTACGCGGTGAGAGACGTGTAAGTTGCAATGTGGCATCTGTACTTAACAATGTACCGGGTGTTTAAGAGTTCAAACCTTGGGCTTCAATGAAGGATCGAAAACAAGAAATGAACCAGGTGGTAAAGTGTTTTTTTTTTGTTTTTTTTTGTTTTTTTGTTTTTGTTGTCTGTGTTTGTAACAGTCGACAGATCATTTGATGATTTAAAAGCAATAATAGGAACAAGTTATAATCTCCAAAGAAAGAAATCACAAGTTTAAAGGACTAACTCGTCGTCCACATCCGCCCTCCAAAAAAAAAAAAAAAAAAAAAAAAAAAAAAAAAAAAGAAAAAAAAAGAAGGTTTTATTAATGCTTCCAAAGATGTAAAAGTGTACGAGAGAATAAGTTTGACATTGATCTGACAGGATTTTTTTTGACCCGCTCGGGTTGGGCGTATTGACGGGCCCAATGGGGCCCAAAGGGTTACAAACTAATATTACTATGTTTGATATAAAAATTATAATTTTTAGATTCTTAAGAAAGTGATTATTATGAAATTCACGTTCTCTCATTTTAAGGTAATTTGAATACCATCTAATATGATGTTATTCAAATTTTTAGGAATCTCAAAATCATGGAAATCTTACCCACACACAGAGTGCAGCTTACCACCACTGAGCATCTCCTCCTCCTTGTCGTATCTGCCGAGCACCTTCATCGCCTCCCCAGTTGCTCCGCCGCCACCCCAGTCGCTCTGCCGCCGCCCACGGGCGCGTCGAGGAATCGTCCTAGAACGACGAGCAGGAGAGAGCTTCCGAGGAGCAAGTGAGCCGTGATCCCAACGACGCCAAAGCGCTCCGGCCGCTCATGGAGGCGAAGATCAAGGCGAACAAGCTTGATGAGGCAGTCCAGGTCCTGGACCGGGTGATCGAGCTCGAACTGGAGGACCTCGAATGGTGGCTGCTCAAAGCTAACATCCATAGCCACAATAGAGAACTAGAAGATAGAAAGGGGAAAGAGAGATAGTTTTTTTTTTATTTTGTTATATTTTTTAAATCTAATATGTCAAATTATAATCACTTAATTAAATAAATAGTTTAAAATTATTTAAAATGTTTAATTTTATAAGAAAAATTGCATTACATTACTGTGCACAACCAAGCACAGTAATGTAATATTCTTGGGAATTTGAGAAAGATTCCTATATGGAACCTGTGACGACCCTCCTATGAGGCCGCCACTGTAACTTAAACTTTAACTTGTACTTACTGGGGTTTCTTAAAATTTGCGGAACATTTTTTTTTTAATATAAGAAAGAATACTTTCATAATTTGTAACAATAATTTCAAATAAGTGAATCACTAAATTTCTTAAAGCTTTTCTTAATTTCAGTTAAGATAAAACGTTCTAAAAATATCTTTCAAACAGAGCAGCATTTGAACTCCTATTTCAAATACTCTTTAAAAGCCTTTCTAAAACTAGCCAATTCAATCAGGCCATTTAATTTTGACTTTAAAACGGATTTCGTGAGAAATCTTAAATTCAAGTACATCTTAAAGCCCTTTTAAAATCAATCGTTTAAATCGTCATGTTTAAAATTTGTTTATTTGTTGCATGCTCTGTTGCAACGTTCTAAAACTTAAACACTCAAAACGAGGGTTGTTAGCTACAACCTCGGTTTCCTTAACATACATATGTACCTATACTTTTTAAACATACATGCTTGAAACCTTTAAATCATATATACATATACATGATTTTTCTTAAACTTACTGCGGAAGATAACTGCG